AAAACATGATCCACACAGCAGCTTTTTTCAGAACACATCCTCATGTCAATTAAGTTTGTCTCTCCATGTTAGTTCTCTAACAGAGTATCTACATATGCGCTCTAGGAAAATCTGGGCAGGTATCACAGTGTCTCAGTATAGGATAGAACAGGGGTTGGCAACTTTTGAGAAGTGGTGTGCCAAGTCTTCATTTATTTACTGTAATTTAAGGTTTCGTGTGCCAGTAATACATTTTACATTTACAGAGGCCGGCGGACGGAATCCCAGACTGGCAGCGGGCTGAGCAGGGCCAGCGGACAGAACCCCAGACCAGCAGCAGACTGAACCGCTGAGCCTGCTGCCAGTCTGGGGTTCTGTCCGCTGGCCTCTGACAGCCGGGGTCCCGGCCACCAGCCCTGTTCAGCCCGCTGCTGGCCCGGGGTTCCGTCCATCCAGGCCGGCAGCAGGCTGAGCGAGGCCCCGCCAGCCCCGCTCAGCCCGCTACCAGCCTGGGGTCCTGTTCATTCAGGCAGGCAGCGGACTGAACGGGGCTGGCGGCCGGGACCCCGGCTGGCAGCAGAGTGCCACTAAAAATCAGCTTGCGTGCCGCCTTTGGCATGCATGCTGCAGGTTGCTGACCCCTGGGATAGAATGTCAGGGGAAAATGCAACAGAGCAGCATCAACAGCACAAGTGGCAGTGCATTCTGGGATGCCCTGTCTCAGAGAGATCTTATTGGGATCCAGGAAGTGGGTGGGCAGAAGAAGATGGAAGAAAGAAGGATTTACCAAAACTGGCTGCATAGGCAGGGGGTCCCCCTCCACTCAGAAAAAAAAAGTTACTACAAGACAACCACATGCCAATCTAAACTCTGCCTTAAGCAAAACACAATTAGTTGCCATAGCACCTGAGGGCCAGATTCTGCCACCTTACACCATGAGTACTCCCATTGATTTCAATTGGACTTCTTGAAGAATAATGGGCTACTCAATATAGAGGTGCATCTGCCTTGGTACCGACTACAGATACCAGCACAATACTGATGAGCTCTCCTGTTCAGATTGTAGATGGGATTTGAGTGTGCTCTAGGACACTAGACAGAGTAGCTCCCTCTTTGGAAAAAATATATTCATCCAGGCTTGTAACAGAGGGCACCTAGAGCGCACGCATGGCTCCAACAGACATTGCTGGCCAGAGATAATCCACTCTTGCATGCATGGGGAATATGCTCACCCGGAGTAGAATCCACATAGATAACATATCTCAAAGAATCCCAGTTACTATAAGATAAGTAACTTAGGAGAGAACTTTTTCAGGAAGTAGACAACAAATACAAAGTATGTTTTAAAAAGGAAGGATAAATGTCTATCAGGGATGGTCTAGACGGTATTTGGTCCTGCCATGCGGGCAGGGGACTGGACTCGATGACCTCTCAAGGTCCCTTCCAGTCCTAGAATCTATGAATCTATGAATATGTGACAGAACCTGGCATTGAGTATTATTTGCATTGAGTATGGCTATATGATAGAGCCAATCATGTTAGTAACAAATTTGTTTTTCGATAGTAGTGTAGATGGTTGTAATGTAGACAGGGCCACAGCATTCCACTGTGGTCTTGTCTACATGAAAAAGTTGCCTGATTTAGTTAAACCAGTGCAAAGCCCTGTGTGGACATGCTTATTTCAGTTTTGCTTAAGTCAATTGGGAACAGGTTTAAACTAAATATTTAAAGTTTTACCAACATAACATTGTTGTCAAGGGGTATGTGATTTTTGCTAATGTAGTTATACCCATAAAAGCCTTAGTGTAGATACAGTTATATTGGTATAAGATGCTTTATTACAATATAGCTTATTTCAAGTCATAAATTAGAATTATATCGATATAAGCACTTTTATACTCATACAACTGCATCTCATATGGTTTTTGCAGCTGCAACTATACTGTCACAGATAAAATGGAAAAACTTCTAAAGTGTAGACAAGGCCTTAAACTGAAATGAGAGTATCCATATAGGACACCAGTTTAACTAAATCAGTTTAAATTAAACCGATACGGCTCCCATGTAAACAACACCTCTGAAGAAAAAAAATTTCTTATCTGGAAAAAAGTATCTGAATTTAAACATTGACAGTTAATATATTTTTAAGTTTAGCTATATTCAATACAACATAGATCCATTTTAACAAGGCAACAGAGTACTTGCCAAGACCTGAGTTCAGGATTCCATGTTTTTCAGAAAAGAGTTGGTGACATCATTAACATTCAGGCAATACAGGGGGCGGCATCCTTTTTCTAAAGCAGAGTAGCTGTTGTTCATGTGACCAACTCTTGTAGGAGAACAAGAGAACCCTGCTCTTAGCTCCTAGCAGGAAAGTAAAAGAGGAAATCCCTTTTAACCCGATGCTATAATTTTTCTAAAATAAGGAAGTTATAATTTTTGAAAAATTATTACCCAAGTTTTTAGCAACACAGCAGAATAGTAAAACTGAAAAAAAAAAGTTTTATTTTAATCATCTATGTGGCTTACTTTTTGCTTACTTTACTTACTTTCATTTACTTTTTTTTTGTTACACTGAATACACAAAATAGACTAATGACTGGTTCTCATGCACTAGCATAATGCTGCAAAATTTGCACAGGAAAGGTGATGTGAAAAAAAATCTTTGTTGTTGTTAATTTTATGCAAACATTTTAATTAAAATTAGATCTGTGTTCTTTTTAAATAAAAAATTTTAGATACCTAATAGCATCCCTTTTAAAGATTAGATTTAAATTGCCAATATATTTTAAAACATTTGTGCAGCCTGCTCATGCTTTTAAGGCCCAATCCTGCTCCCACTGGAGTTAAAGGGAATTTACCATTGACTTAAACAGGAGCAGGCCCCTAGAATGTTATAAACAGATTCTGTATTTACTTTAAAACCATTGCAGTTCACGTTTAAAAAGCAACAGAAAAGAACTCAGAAAATGCAAGCTGCCCAAGGAAATCAGAGTCCACTCTTATTTCAAAAACCCAAATGACATAATGCTGAGGGGTGGCGAAGAAGAAGAGTGTCTAAACCTAAAATTGTATCTTCTATTATCTGACATTAAAATAATCAAATCAGTTTTAATAAAAATTACCTTGTTAATGTTGATGTTATACTCGCCTTCCAAACAGAATACACACTAAAAACATTCCATTAAATTACATATTACAGTGTTGCTCCATATGTCAACATTAAAACTACTATTGTCAGTAACATAATTGAGGATTATTTTAGAATAGATGAAGCATCATTCCTATATTGAACAGGTAAATAATAATCTTAGAGTAGAGGGACAGCGTGTTTAAATCAGGGTGGATAAAAATAAAAATTAAATAAGTAAATTTATTTTTAACTTTCAAATTATTTTTTTTCCTTAAAAGTAAACCTATTTAAAATTAAATGAGATTAAAGTAAAGTTTAGGACTTAACATAAATTGTTATAATCTATTAAAATAATTTAAATGAAGTAAAAAATATGCAAGCAGTACCTGTTTGCTGGTGAAATTTTGAAGTCAAACCACTGCACTGGTGGAAGTCACTGGCTAAGCACTTGTGACTGGTGTTCGAAGTGCTAAACCAGCTTTTGACAGGAGTAGCCTCTTCTGCAGGCACAGAATGAACATTTTCTTCATTTCAGTTTATTCAAGTAGTTCAGTTCAATGACTAGGTGATTCAAAGTTGAGAAACCAATTGGGAATCGAAAAAGCAGAAAAGCTCATTTTCCTCTTACAATCTATTAAAAAAAGAAAGAAAGAAAGAAAAAGGAGATCTACTAGTTCTAAAATCTTGAAGGACACAGTGACAAAACTATCAGTTCAATTCATTAACTACAGATAATATTTCATTTGTTTAATACATCAATACAAACAATGCAGGACAAAGGTAAACTTTTAAGATCAACTCTGTTCTCCCCCACACGTTCACAGGGGTAATAAAAATTAGTAGTAAAATGACTTTGTAATTCCCAAGACTTCCACTTGTGAAATTAAATCCAATTTTGCAAAAACCTGGCTCTATTGGATTCCAGTGAGAAGTGTCAGATCCATCAGTGGAAACTATGAATCCTACATTTTCATTTTAATACAGTTGAAGGGGGTATTTCTAAATAAAATGTTTGAGTAAACAATATTTTCTTGTTTTATGTGGAAATTACTGAACATCTCCATGCAAAAACAGCACAGAGAAGTTACTCCAGGCTAGAGTGGTCTTCAGCCCCGATCTGCTAATAAGATCAACACCGATGCAATGGTCCGTCTGCATGAAGCTCATTGCAGTATTGGGACTTAAGTGCTTATAGGTGACAAGACAGATGGTCCCCAAAATCAGTACAGTCCATTCACTAACCCATGAGTAAAAACCAGTAAGCACCTACACTTCCCCTCTGCACCAGGTCACAGATAATTTCAGCTGGATCAAACCCATAGATATTAAAATATCTGAAAAGCTTTACAGGTGACTGACAAAGGGGGGGGGGGGAAGGAGAAGATTCCTCTTTGCATCCTTCTGATGTGTGAAAAAAGTCTGAAAAAGGGTATGGGTTAAGTTTTTTTTTTTTTTGCCTTTAAAAAAATTAATCAGGTCTTATCTTCCTTGTTTTTGCTGGAGGACTTTGAGAACCAGAAAACTGGGGAGCAGTTTATCAAGATTCTGGATTAAATTTAACGCTTGTTAACTAAAAAAATATAAATCCCTAAAGTTTTGAACTGCAAATCTCTTCCCCCATTAAATTGCTCAGGTTTTGATTTCTTGTGATGCTTTATTTTCACTAGTTCTCTAGTCACCCGTAGACTCCTCCAGCAAAAACAAGATATGCAAGTTATCCTACGTAAAGACAAGTGGAAGTTAAAAATAAATATCCAGACCTCCTTTATACATCAAACAAACAAGTGCATATTTTAGCCTTTGTAGGTCCCCTTAGGCCTATATATATAGGGAACCTATATATATAGGGGACCTACAAAGGCTTAGAAAATGTACTTGTTTATTTATGATGTATAAAGGTCTGGATATTTATTTTTAACTTCCACTTGTTTTTACAGATCTATTCCAAGCAGATATATGTTATAGGCACCAAACCTGCAAACTGTTCTATGCATGAAGATCCGGATGCTGCACCCACGTGGAATACCCAGACTTCTGTGTGGGTGAACCTGTGTGTCCATGCAGAGTTCCACTGAGCAATTTGCAGGATCAGGGCATAGATAAATATCCAATCCTACTACTAATAGTTACTGGTGGGTTTAATGCAGAGCTAGGCCAATGCTGAGTGTTTTTGAAAATCTCACCCATAGTATTTAACAAGTTATTAGTGGATGCTAATGTAATCAGTGGGCTGAGACCACTGTTGGGAGTCAGGAACTCCAGAGTTTTGATTGTGGCTTCACCTAATTAAGGCCAGGTCTACACTACAAAATTATATTGACCTGACTGTGGTGTCTGTATGCCAACTTAAGTTATTACATCACTTGTGTGTCTGCACACTTGGCTCAGTGTGTCAGAGTCCTTACCAGAAGCACTTGTATCGATTGTATTGTCAGTGTGGGGTGGCTCCTGAAAGCTAGTAATAGTCCACATAAGCAACAGTGTCTACTACATTGACATTGCATCAACTTAATTACATCAACTATGACTTGATGCCATTCAGGCAGGTAGTGTTACTACATCGGTGTAGAGAGGCACTTACATTGGCAGGAGCCAAATTTAAGTGAAGACACTTCCACAGCGAGGTTGACACAAGGCAACTTTCGTCAGCCTAACCCTGTAGTATAGGCCAGACCTCACTCTGATCTCTGCCCAGACATTTAACCAGCGTGCTGATCCACCTTGGGAGGTGAAAAGCACCCTCAACTCAGCACCATGCATCATCAGGCCTCCCCCTTGCTTGACTTTCCTCCTATTTGAACAGGAAATAGTTTCATACCTTGTAGGTATTTTAAGGATTAACTGGTAATTTGTACAGGTCTTTGAAGATGTATACTGCTGTAGCAAGTCTAAACACAGTACAATCTTATTAATATACTATAGGCCCTTCCCTACCCCTATTCTCTCCCCACAAACCTGATTCATTATATAGAACATTATTAGGCCCCATTCCTGCAAGGTGATCCCTTATGCCCATGCATGAGCCCCTGGGAACAGAGCCTTAGTTAAAAAGCTCTTTGGGGTACAGACTGTCTCTATTAGTTCTGTGAATCTGCGCACTTTTGGAAGCTTTAACAATAAAATAATGATGAGGGTATACACAAATAGCAAAAATAAGAACATAAGGATTCAAGTTCAGGTTAATTTTTAAATTTACAGGAAACAAAAGTGTTCTTAATTTTCAGGTTTTAGTCAAAAACTACCATTATTGACCTTTAATAACATCTAGGTAAGGTTTGTAACATGCTTTGATGATTTAGAGTGCTATGCAACTGCCAAGTATTTTTATTTCTATTATTTTGGAAGGTGTCTGAATGTGTGTTCAAAAGCCTGTTTCTACTATTCCACGAACTGTGTTAATATAGTGCTCATGACACTTGCAGAGCAATGCTGGCTGGACCAAAGAAAGAAGACAATGCTATGCATGCTGTCTCACTCAGTTCTGTCCATCCATATTGACAGACATTACTTCCAGTCATCCATGTCCCATGACTCTCCTGAACAGTGACTACGAACTGTGAATTTGATCGGCAGCTTGTTCAACTCCCACTGAAATCAATACATATGGAGAGTGATCAGCAGGTTACAAGACTGGATCCTGCATGATGCAATTTTATAATATGAACATGAAACTAAGTTAAGACCCAAGTACTTTAACTGAAGATCTTAAACAAAATTTGAATTTAGTTCTTTTGAGAGAAACAGTAATGTGGTACTTCATCACTACTCTTAACCATGGCACTTATTAAATAAACTAAACACTGGTTAACTCACAGGTAGGGTGGATCATGACGCATAATTAGCTGAATGAGCTCACACAAAAAAGGCTAATGTGATGTATAAACAGGAATATCAAGTAGGGCGAGGGAGGTTATTTTACTTCTGTATTTGGCACTGGGGTGATCACTATTGGATTATCATATCCACTTTGGGTATCTACAATTAAAGAAGGATGTTAATAAATTGGAGAGGATTCAGAAGATCCATGAACATTTTTAAATGATTGTAAAACATGACTTCTAGTGAAAGACTCAAGGAGCTCAAGATGTTCAGTTTATCAAAGAAAAGATTAAGGGGTGATTTAAGTTAGGTCACAGTCTACAAGTATCTACAAGGATCTAATAGAAGGACCCTTCACTCTATAGACAAAGGTATAACAAAGTCCAATGGCTAGAAGTTGAAACTAGACAAATTCAGACTAGAAGACAGACACATTTTTAAACAGTGATGGTAATTAACCATTGGAATGATTTACCAAGAGTTATGGTGGATTCTCCATCATTTGCAATTTTTATATCAAAACTTGGATTTTTTTTTTTAAAAGATATGCTCTCATTCAAAAAGAAATTAATTCAGAGAAGTACTGTGGTCTGTGTTGTACAGGAGTATCACAGTGGTCCCTTCTGGCTTAGATCATCTATGAATCTACTTTAAAAAATTATTTTTTTGCCATATTCGATTTTGTAAAATTCTTGTAAACAAAACAAATTTTTGGTCTAAACTGACTGTGGTTTTAACTCCTCTTCATCACGGTGCCTTTAAAAGAAGATTTAGATTGCACTTCATAGCTTTTGTCATGAAATTCGTGTTTCTGAATAACTCCAACATGCTCCCTGAGTCCTGGTGCTATTATTTTTAAAATAAGGGCTATTTATTTCTGGTTGCAAATCCATTTACATCCCAGTTTCTTATGTTTTAAATGACAAACAGAGAAAGGTAAACTGCTCTATCATTGGTATGACTAATTGTCCTCCCAGAAAGATTAAAGTGCTCAGAGGTAAAGCATAGGTACCTACCAGTTAGTGTTCACTACTGCAGGTGTTCCAACCCCTTTCAGAGGCCCAGCACCTTTTCAAAGTACGTGGTTTATTGACGCTGCTTTGGATCTCTGTTACTGTGCATCCTGATCTGGGGAAGAGTTGAAAATCTATATATCCCAGAAAACAAAAGTAAAAATGACATATCACAAGCTTTGCATGAAAACACTATATGTTCCATCTTTTCAAACTCAAACTCGTTTTACATTTTAAGATGATTAAAGAAAGCTAGAACTAGAACTGTCTGATCTGAGCCCATGACCACAATTAGTTAAATAAAAGACCCACATGGGTAAATACTGGCATATTAAAACAAACACATACTGGGACCCTCAAATTTATGAAAATTTAAAGTTCATTACGCTGCTTTTCATCTGACTTGTCCAATTTTCCTCCACCATTTGTGAAAAACAAAAACATACACAAGATCCTCTCTGCACAGCTGCCAAACTCTCATATTTGGACGTGGGAGGGAGAAGTGGGGAAAGAAGAAAATCTCCCTGGTTCTTCAGCAATTTTACAGCAGTTTAAAACAAAACAAAACCTAACATTACTTCACGATGAAGAATTTTACAGCGAATTCCCAGGAGATTAAAAAATCTCATTTGACTGGGAGAGATCATCAGGTTTGTACATTTCAAAACTGTAATTAGTTTTTAGGTACTGCTTCCGCCCGCCCCCCCAACACAGAGCCTTCAACTCTCCCAAAAAGCTGCCCCCAACAGTATTTAGGGCCTCCTCTAAATCACCATAGGGAGAATGCACAACATAGGTCTCATCAGCTGCAGACAAACAATAGGGAGGCGAAGGGTGGGGAGAAAAACACACTCAACCCCTCCCACTGCAAAAATCTTAAAAGTATCCAAACATCTCCATGAAGACACCCCCCCTTTCCTGTCTTTGGCAGTTAGGAATAAACCATAGGGGAGTTTTCTCCTTGCTTCTGGCTAAACCTTGGGGAGACGTCTCTTTCTTGTAACATTTCCCCACACTAATCCAGGGTGTGAGGAATTTGTTGATCCCAACACCCTTCTCCCATATTATAAGTAATTGAGAACTGAAGGGGGGGAATCCCTCACAAATTTCAGTTACAGAAGCAATGGCTGGAGATATGTGTGAATGTGTATGTGAGAGAGAAATACCTCCCAGCTTCCACTAGAGAGATTTCACTCAGTCTTTCTTTCACACACTCCAATCAGCCCCTGCACCCCCCAGCTGAGAAAGCAACGAATGCTAAAATCCCTACCTTGAAGTGCTGCTCTCTGCCTCTCTCCCACTCAGCCTGTGTCAGTACCTCCTCCTCTTACTGCCTCGTCGCCATCTTGCATTTAAAAAACTACTGCACTTTTTTTGGGGAGGGGTGGGTAACTGAACTGTGAACTTTGAACTCACAGAGCACTTTAAACCCACCCACCCTAAGCACACAGACCCTGATTTTATCCCTTAATTAAAACTGCATTTCCCCCTGGACTCTATCTATGCTATGATCTGAGTGTGGGAAAAGAATGTAGCAATAGGCAGTGTCTCTCTCTCTCTCTCACTCACTCACCCAATCATACATGCATGCAGAGAGCAGGAGCAGCAGAGAGGGGAGGAGCTGCTCCAGCAGTGATACAATCTCCTCTCCTCTGCGTGTGAAGCTGGGGAGTGGTAGCTGCCACCATTTATAAAGCTGGCACAACAGAAGGCTGCCCTATGATTGGTTCCAGTAAGGTTCCATTCCAGCCATAGGGATCAAGGCAAGAGATTGCACCAGAAGGCTAGTGATCACATGGATGACTTCCACACATTTCACCCACGGAGCTGCTAAGCTAAGACCCAAGAGGCAAAGCCTATCCGGTCCCAAGGCTGTGTGTGTGTGTGTATGTATGTGTGTTTCTCTCTCTCCTAGCTCTTCTCAGGTTACAATGTAGTTGTGTTAACTAAAGCAGCAGATTATTATAACTTTTTTTGTCTAATTTCCTTTTCACTATTTGTAAGTGTCTGAAATGAATAAATGCAGTCAAGCCAATTGGATAGTTTCATTTTCGAGTTTACACATTAGCAGGGTGCTGCAATGTCTGGGTTTCAAACATTTTTTTCTTTCTGTCTTGGAAACACTAAAAAGAGTGGGCACTGCGGGTGACCTTCAAGGAGGAAAAAGAATGGATCTGTGCTCTTTTTGTTTCTTTATCAGTAGAGCTGGAGCAACAACTATAGTGAAGTGACTTACCACTTTTCCATTATAAGACTGTTTTCAGTTACTTAGAACTTTACCACATTTCAGCTGGTTGGGCAGAAATGTCATATGCCCGGCATCTGCCTCAGAGTGATTTTTTTGTTGTTGTTAACATTTCAGAAAAACGGGTTCAATCTTTCTCAGAATGAGGGGAGTGATAATTGTTTTTTTCACCTTCTTTCCTAATTCATCACAAATGGGTAATGCCTGTCAACTGTGGAATTCAGAGGTGGGCCAGTAGTATTGCTGGAGGCTCCAGGACTCAGCCAGGGAATGTTTCTATGAACAGGTACTGAGTGTGATCTTGTCCATGGATGGCTTTAGATTCATTACTTGCAACCTAAACCTTGCTGTCTTCTAATAGCCATTTAAGACTTTGGGTGCAGCAGGTAGAAAAAAAAGGCAGTCTTGCAATTGTAATTTTTTTGGAATTGTAAGCTCTGATAGACACTCATTTTGCCTGGTCATATTGAGGATTGTGTTAGTTTGGGAAGAAAATGCATCAAGATTTCCTTGGAGATCCAGCTCCAGATTTTTTCTTTTGTTAGGGGATTAGTCCCTTCTTGAATACCATTGATGTTGAGAGAGACCAACGGATTGCTATGCTGGTTTTGACAGTGAGGGATGAGGTCTCTTTGTATTCTCCACTACTAATTTCTCTGATGTTTCCCCAAACATCCTCAGACCTGTGCATTTGGATGCACATATGATGACTGGTTGCTACTGATTTAACACAGCTTTCTTGTAGCCTCTGAGGTAGAAGCCATCCCCCACTGCCCATTACAAAAAAGATTTTACCACAATATGAACCTGAGGCCTGTCATATTCAAAGCAAGGATATATCCCTAAATGATAAGCCACTTGTTTACCACCAAGTAGGTTTTCCTTACTAAGGCCATGTTTACCCTACAATCTGTGGTGGTCAGTTATGTCAGCAGATGGCTGCCAAAATTTGTGCTTTCTTCAGCACTGCAAGTACTCACCAGGAATGCTTGGGTAAATACAAAGTTGATGCACCACAGGTAGTTATCCCAGTGTGCCATGCACTGCTGCTTCTATACCTTTGGGGATAGAAATGACTTGCCTAGGAATGTCCAGGGAGTAAGGGGTCAAGTTCCCAGAATGCAACTTTCTCCATCCCATAATGCCACCCATATATCATAATTACTGTGCCTTTAAAAAAAATCCACATGGCACTTTTTGGTATAGGGAGCTATACCTATCTCATAGAATTAGAAGGGACCCTGAAAGATCATTGAGTCCAGACCCCTGCCTTCACTAGCAGGACCAAGTACTGATTTTGCCCCAGACCCTTAAGTGGCCTCCTCAAGGACTGAACTCACAACCCTGGGCCAATTAGCAGGCCAATATTCAAACCACTGAGCTATCCCTCCCGTGCCATCTTTGCCAGAAGCAAGGAGCCAACAGAGATCTGCACTATCATCATGAATGTTGCAAATACAGGATGCACAATGCTCTTGTATTTACAGACTTGCAGGAAGTACTGCAACAACAGGGGTATGCCAATTTCTTCTAGGACAGCTTGCTAAGGGACATAGCGAAAACAATACAAGGCTGGTGGTGGCATTCATGGAGCACTTGCAGATGGTGGTGCACCATTTGTGGGTTTGAGAAATGAGCACTGACTGGTGGGATCACAACATAATGCAGGTTTGGGATGACAGGTGGTGGCTGCCAAACTTTCCAATGTGGAAGGCCATATTCCTGGATCTGTGTTCAGAGCTTGCACCAGCCCTCCAGTGCAAGGACACCAGAATAAGAGCAGCATTGACAGAGGAGTGGTGATCACACTCTGGAAACTTGCAACACTGGACTGCTATTGGTCAGTGGGAAATCATTTTACAGTTTGAAAAGCCACAGTGGGGGCCATTGTCATGCAAATATGTATGGCCATTAATCTTCTCCTGCTACACAGGACAGTCAGTGTGAAGGACATAGTGGATGGATTGTAGCAATGGGGTTCCCAAACTGTGGTAGAGTGACTGACAGCATGCATATACCTACTTTGGCATCAGCCCACTTTGCCACAGAGCACATCAACCGAAAGGGCTACTTTTCCATGGTTATGCAAGGGTTGGTGGATTGGGAAGATTCACTGATATCAATGTGGACTGATCAGGGAAGATGGATGAAACTCCTATGTTTAAGAACAAAGGACTGTTCAGAAAGTTGAAAGCAGAACATTCTTTCCTGACTGGCAGATTACCATTGGTATTGAAATACCAACAGTGATTCTGGGGGACCTAGCCTACCACTTCCTCATGAAGTTGTACACTAGCTACCTCGACAGCATCAAGGGAAGAGTCAGCTACCAGCTTAGCACGTGCAGAATGACCATTGAATGTGTTTTTGAAAGACTAAAGGAATGCTGTCAACGTTTACTCACACTATTGGATCTTGGTGAGAAAAACATCCCAATGGTTATAGTTGTTGTTGCGTCCTGTGTAATATCGGTCATGCAAAGGGGGAAAGCTGCTGCTCGGGTGGAGGTAGAGGGGCTTTGAGCAGCCAGACACAAGGGCCATTGCAAGAGCCCGATGTGGAGCTATGCAGTTGACGAAGGCTTTGAAAGAGCACTTTTAACAGTCACCTCACTAGTGTTCTCTGCTGGACTGTTCTCTGGGCCTGAAGCTTTGGGTGCTGTTAGTAATTGAGCATTTATAAATATTAGACCGTTTTACTGAAGCTCTGAAGCTTGCTGTACATGGTCAGTTGCACATAACAAAGGAGAGCTCCTAGGTGCACTCAACAAGGTGGAAAATCAGGAAAAAGGATTTCAAAAATATGCAGGGGACTTGGGGAAATGGCTTCCAGTCTCCGTGACCCCTGGGCAGTGGAGTTTAAAATTGTGACCAGAGTGGTCACGGTCGCAGGGAACGGGGGCATTGTGGGACTGCTGCTACAGGCTCAACACAGGTCATGCACTGTCTACATTCGCACAGAGTTGACCTCAGTAGGTCAACCATAGCTCTATGTCATTAGGGAAGGTGGTTTTACTTTGTCACCATCATGGGGTGCTTATGCTAGCCAGAGACAAATTTTAGCGCACAAGTAGGTTGATGCAAGGCGACTTACGTTGAGCCAACTTTAGAGTGTAGACCAGGCCTAACTGTAGAAAATGTCTATAGTTGAGGCTTTGAAATTTCTGGGGGTGGGGGTGGGGTGTGGGTGTCTTCACTTTATGTGGCCTATAGGAGCTTTGGAAAAGAAATCCTTTTCGGAAGGTGTGAGGTCTTTCACTCGTACAGCTACTGCTGCACCAAACTTAGGTTTCCAAAACCTAGGAATTTTTGTTGGTTTTATGTAATGCTTTTAATATTTGGTTTTATCCAGAAATCTCTATTTAGATCTTATAACATCCTCAAAGGAGGTGCTACGTCAATTTGCAAGCAATTCTGCGACTGGCCCTTTCTGCTTGTGCATTACACAACTCCTTAGTTACATAATCAAATATTTCTCAATTTTTTTTTTTACAATTTTAAATACATTTTTTCATGTTTTTGTTGCCATAATTGTACAGTATATCTTAATTGACTTATGCAGCTCTTTGAGTGAACACATGTGGGAGGGGACTGCTGGGCAGACTGATCTCAATAGACCAAAAGCCCTCCTGCTCTTCCAGTTTACTATTTACCATACTAAAGGTAGCATAAAAAAACCCCACAATTAGATATAAGCAATGTAAAGCCTTTACTTGATCTTGTCTCAATATATTTTAATATATTTATACATGTATATGCACTCTGATATTGAACTATGCACAGGTAACAAAGGAGCATAAAATTAAAGTAAAAGGTTAGAAAAGTAGAAATCAGTTAATTTTAGATATTATGATCTTCAGTTTGCTTGAAGACTGCAATTTCTTTTTTCATTTCCTGAAAGAGAACAAAAAGCAACAAGCATAAGTGTAAACTGTTGGAAATCCTATTTTAGATATATATATTTTTAAAAAGATTTGTAAATATAACTAACTGTTGTATATATTTGACAGATTCAGCTAAAATAACTATAAGGAAAAAAAAGTTACTCACCAGTAACTGCTTTCTCCAAATGTATTGCTTTTGCATATCTACACTGTAGAGTTATGTGCCCTCCACATGAGAGAGACAGTCCTTTCTGGACACATTCACATTCAGGATTCTAGAATCAATGGCATAAAAGCCACCTAACTGTCCTTTCCTCTCTAGCTTCAGACACATCCTTACATATCCAAAATAAAGGGAAAGATGGAGAGTCAAGGGTTGATCTGCAGAGGCAATACTTTCAGTGACCATGCAAGCAACCAGTTATAGGTAGGACACAAC